TTAAAATTACCAAAAATGGCATTCAATCGATAAAGGTTAATTAAGGAGCCGGTATTATTTACTCCGAATAATTTTTTAACGAAATCTGTGCGCACAGATTACTGTCTTAACCCTTTGCATTCGACGATTTTTTGGCTAAAGATGAGTAGGAGTTCAAAGATTTTCTGCTATAAAGTTAACGATATTTTTTCCAGCAGTAAATAAGAAATTGTATAATAATTAACACGTAGAACTATTTGATATCTATACCTTGCATACCGTTACATTATCTTAAATTTGATATATTAATTAATATCGATCTTCGAAATTTTATCAAATGGCGATTGAAGGGAGCCACTCGAGTGCAAATGGTTAAAATTGTCTAAAAATGCTATTTGATTATTAAAAATTAATTATCAAATTATTTCTCAGTCCCATTACGCGTTGCTACTAAACAGAGACATACTTCCGCTTTTCCTCTCAACTGCAACAGAAATATTCACGAGCAGTGGGTATCATCGTACAAAGTGCATCTATGTCGTTATATCTCCAACAATTTTCAGAAAGCCAACATTCGGATAAGATATGCTGTTTCCATGCACACAGGCTACTCTGAGAAATTACAATCGCGAAAATCGGATCCGAAAGAATCGCAATTGAAAATCCGAAACCCGAGAAAATATTGGAAGAAAAATAAATTATAAACAAACCATTCATTTATGCATCAGGCAAAAATCACGAGCAACGTGCAAATGAGTCTCGCAAAAAGCGAAAACGACTTCTAATTAGAAAGTTGGACGTTTTATTTCCCCAGTCGATCCCGTAATTGACTGCCGAACGTTAATTAGCGGGGTGGAGTAATTAAACTATTTGACCGGCGAATGATCGATGAACGCGGGCAGCTTTTATAGTGCAACCGTACAAAGGCTCGGCAGTATCAATGAATTCGTGGATATCATACGTGGTATCGAAACGGCGAACGAATTTTCGAGTACAGGTAGCCCTCCTACAACACGGTATCCTGTAACACGGTTTCACTATAACACGATTCATAAATTGCGGGAACCCTCCTACAACACGGCATCGTATAACACGTGTTGGAAGAAGATATGGCCCGCTTCGGTTGAAATAGAAAACGTGCGTGAATCGTCAGAAAATGAAATTGGTGACATATTAGAACTTGCTAAATAAATTGGAGGCGAAGGTTTTGTGGATATGGCTATTGAGGACGTTGGAGATTTATTAGTGGAAGAAGAAGTCGACGAAGCGGATTTGATGGAAATGGCATCTGAAGCTGTAAATCAAATCGATTCCGAGGACACTGACACCGATAAAGATCGCGCAGTTAATAATTTAACATTAAAAAATTACAAGAAGGCCTAAGCTTAGCTGAAAATCTCGAGTCATTTTTCTCGAATGCAGACCCTTCCGCTGAAAGAAGCCGAAAATTCAAAAGGGAGCTGCAAAACTGTTTAGCTCCATACCGAGAAATTTACAATGACCTGGTAAGAACCAGCGAGCAAAGTGAAATTACAGATTTTTTTAAGAGGGAAGAAGATGCAAGAACTTTAAACAAAGAAAAATGTTCTGAAAGCGAAGGCGATATCATTCACCGAAAACACGCTCTCGGTTGATTATACCGAGCAGTGACGACGAAGAAATTTATTAAATTAAAGTTACGTTAAATTAAAATAATATTTTTCTTTTTTGTTGTGTTGTACATATATTTATATTTTTGATAGAAATTAAGTTGTTTATGTAGAATTAAAAAAAAATTTTCGGAACGTAACCCCCCTTTTTGTACTGGCTCTGGGTCTCATACAACACGGTTTCATACAACACGGCATTTTCTAGGAATCTATCTACCATGTTATAGGAGGGTTACCTGTATTTATCTCGGCCGGCGTGACACGCTTGTCAATGCGCTTTGCTTAGCGCCTTGCTTAAATTCACGCTATGACCAGGCCACGACAGGCATGTATTAATCGCGCGTCCACTTTCGAAATGCCCGAGAAACTTGGAACGTGCCGCCATGGAATTTCAATCAGTCCGCGTTCCTCGTATTTGGACCGACGGCCGATTGATAACCGGCTACGCGAATCGATTTTCGCTTCAAAAGGGTCGTAACGCGAGAAAGAAGGACGGAATTTATGGTTTACCGGTCCGTCGAGTATTTCCATTAGATGGTCCGATTTTCTCCGAATCCACGAGCATTCTTTTAGACCAAACTCAGCTATTTGCAGTTCGTCGAGAAACTTCGACGGTGGAAGGGTAATCAAATTTATAAAACACATCCAAAATCAGGTTTTATGATCTATTAATTATTCTTCAGTGAAGGGTACCTTGAAATTTTAAGCATTGTTAGTGACGTGTAATATGTTTCAGATTGTTCCAGTTAATAATTAAATAATTAAATAATTATTAAGTGTATTTTATGATTTATTACCTGTAGTTGTTCCGCGAAGCATATTGTGAAATTTTTGTTAATATCAACGTCGTGTGTATTTTAATTTCCTCAGCTCGTCGCATAAGAGTATATAAAAGATTCTTTATCAAGAAATTGCTTAAATACGTAGCTCGTTAAAGCCCACAGTTTTACGTTTAATAAGAAAGTGCGTTTCTACGTCTGATTCTTTTCCATCGAGGTTGATTGATGGCTTGAATAATTCAATCGATGAAGTAGCAAACAATTAATCAATTAAATTTTCCTTCCGATGAAATATTCATGCGAGTGATTTTACCTTGAGAATGGCATGCTGTCTTTAATTAAATAATTTTAAATAGCGTTGCCAATTCCATTTGGCATACCGAATGAAGCGAATTTTGATATTCGTCTTCGAGTTTGCTCAAAATTCTCTCTTATTCCCGTATTTTATTTTCCAATCGCCTGCAATTCGGAATCCTGAACAGAACCGAGGACAGTCACGTTCGTAATACTGTCGAAGCTTGAATAACGGCAGCCACTTTTCAAATATCGCGCGTAAAAGGGAACTCGCGCGGACAGTTGGAATAGCTCGATAGATTAAAATGGCCGCCGGCTGCCGATCGGTGGAAATTATCCTAATACCCGGACGCTTCTTCTCACGCCGAAACAAGCTTTCAAGGATATAAAAAGGACATAGAGAGAGCATAAAAGTGGTGGAATTTATATAGAGCGCAAATGGCGGCGGAGTGGGAAGCAGAAGAAGCAACTGCGAGTTACTCGGCTCGATGCGCGTCGTTCCACTTATTCTTTAAATAGTGCGAGTCAACAAATCTCGGATCCATAAAGTTCGGAATTTGTCGCGGGAGACTCCTTGGAAGTTTCTTCGTTTCTGACCCGATTCATGGAACCACCTTCCCCCCTTTTGTCAGAGTTCAAACAACTGACGAAAATATCCGGGCTACGGATTCCGCAATCGTCGTTGCGTGACGTGCACCGTGATTCTTCGATTTATTGCATAAAAGTTTCGTGACCGTCGAGATTTCCTGCTTTCCTCCTTGCTCTCGCGCGTTTCGTTCGTTCCACTCTCGCAGGTGAATGGAATTATAATGACGTTAACCGTCTATCGAATATCGATTTATTAGTACATTGATTTATCGAACGTCCAATATAGATTCGATCGAGTAAAATTAACATACGTGTATGTACGTACGCATACGTATAGACAGGAGAGCAAGGAGAATGAACCTCAAAAAGAAATAGTCATGGTCTTACTCCTATTGACCTGTATTTCTTATTGCGTTCTCTCTTTTATTGTCTCGTACGAACGAGCGTCAACGAAGCGCCCCTTTCGTGGTCAATGTTTTCATTTAACCGACTTCGTCGCTCGAATCTTCTTATCTGTCTTCCTTTTCTCTCATACTGGCTTTCCGCATCGCTCTCTCTTCGTCTATCGATGCTCCTTCTTCGTGCTTCTGTCTCTTTCCCGCGCACATTCGTCTCGCGTCTAGACCCTGGATTCTCCAGTCTACTTACCAGTCGATTCATGGGCGCCAGCTTCCTACAATTGGGTGGCAGGATAGCACAGTGGACGTGTAACCGGTGAGAACGATTCATAAGCTCGCTATTTACATGAAATTCATTTAAGCATCAACTGATCGACGGTAATATAACTGACCGTCAGCGTGCAACATCATCCGGAATGCCGGCGCAATTAAATCATTCAGGAGCAGCACGACGACAATGACAGCTCTGCCGCGATGGAATTTACGTTTCGTCGACCTGTCATACGACGCGACCGTTATGTAATTAGGCGCTCGAATAACCGTGGAACGCCTAAAGCGTCGCAAGGCACAGCTGCATCTGCACAGACGGACGTGCGTATTTTTGCAGGGAATAAATGCTACACTAAATGTTTCGTAGCAGTTGCTCGACCATGTCGGAGACGTTGCATTAATTTTTCGATGGACCGACGCCAATGCGCCGTGCTCCGTGACCACCGTGTACTTCTCTGTTAATACCAACACAAACGGCAGCTGGCGATGCAACGGGGAGAACAGAGTGCAACTGTAAATCGAGGCGACAGAGCGAGCATACTAGCCAAGCATAGTAACGATGCCGTTCGCGAGAACGAACATCTTTTTATTTTTGATATTTATATCTCCCGCGTTCGCCACACCGCCTTACCTCGCCCCTGGCCGCGTCGGTATCCCCACCACCAGCCGCGTCGCTATCCCCACCACCGGCCCGAAGCCTATTTTCTTCGAGACGAAAAATGGATTGAACGCCGTGGCACGAGCACAACAAAAACAATACCGAGGAATGTGTTTCTCACGAGGCTCGCGCGAACTTCACAGTCGACTATGTTTGGCAAAATCAAGAAAATATATCCCGCAAATTTCCAAGTATTCGTCTCGTGTTCTCTCACGAGGCTCGCGCGAACTTCACAGTCGACTATGTTTGGCAAAATCAAGAAAATATATCCCGTAAATTTCCAAGCATTCGTCTCGTGTTATACCTTAGTGTGATACCCTAGCGGATAGTCGAAGAACTAAATAGGCTTCCTTTGACATGTGAGCGAAAATTTTTATCGGTATGGCAACGTTTCTCTCGGTAGAAAGCGAGAGATGTTTTCTTAATTTGTCAAGGAAATAAATCAGTGGAACATTGTTCGTGTTGGTGAGTCAAAGTGTGTTGTCAAAGTGGGATAATTTATCTCTGTACTTCAATTGAGAAATATGCTTCGAAACTTCTTCGATATTCCTTCGACTACTTATTTCATTAGTACTTCAATCTGTCTTGCACCGAGTGGAAAGGGCCGAATGTAGAAAGTAAATTAAATGTCAAGGATGGAAGAAACAAATACGTCGTATTTAGTACAGTGTTTTCACTGCGCATTTAATTTCTATAGTCTGGATAATTTTCGAAATATTTGATGTTTCGTGTGCAATAAAACGCAATCAACATGGAGGTTATGTGTCAATTATTGTCACATATTTACGAAACTCTAATGAGACGTAAGTATTTGATTAGCTCTTATTTAAATTAGGATATTGCATGTTTCATTCATTCGATTAAATTTTCAAAATATTTTCTATCAAAATTGAGAATACAGTGTAATCTATTTTATTATCGTTGGCATTATTGTTAAATATATTCATACGTGATCGGGACATTTGCATAATTCCTTCGTTCACTTCTGTCCCTTTGCTCGCTTATTTCTACAGCCTTAAATATTTTAAAATAACAATTTCCGAATAATAGTATTCGTTTAAAGAAATGCCGTTTATTACTTCATTATTTATTTTCATTTTTCTTTAATCTTTTTTCTACTTTAATTCAGTACGTTCTATTTTTAATTTATACATATATGTTTCAACAGGCTGAACTTAAAGTAAATAACCGTGGAACAGATATATTGCTCTGAATCATACAAAAAAATAAAGGAGGAACAAAGTTATTCATTCGACTTTTCAACGCGAATACTCTCGGTAAGAAAGAAGCCATTTCACGTCTTCATTTATAAAAAGAAAATATTTTCAAAAAAATGAGACAAATAAATTACAAATCACGGAATAAAGAACAGAGCAATAGCGACTGTATAAAAGTTTGTTTACTGCTTTTTTAATTGGCACAAAGAGAAAATCCATCTCATACATTGCTCTCTGGTTACAATTAACATGAGTTTTATGTTTACACGCATCGGAAAACTACCTCCTCGACAAAGGTAATCCCTTAATTAATTCGACATAACCTTCAAAATCTTTACAAATTCAATTCCATTTATTTACATACTGTCATCTTATAATTTTCATTTTATCATTATATACTATCAATAATTAAGCCTTAATTAGAACCAAGGAATCTTTAATCTATTTTTTTTATTCTCGTAGACAAAGCAGCTTGCGGTTGTAGAAGATTAATTGCGTTATAAAATGGCGTCCTTGTCACAGTGCAGACCGGCCTAACAAAGAATGCTATTGAGTAAGATAGAAAGTCAGTGTTCTCCAAATTCATAAATTGGACCACTGTGACGATCAATGCCACGTTTGACACGCGGTTTTAACGTAAACGGAGGAACGAAGATAGGGAAAAATCGCGGCTTATCACTGTATTTCTCGCGTGTTCCGCCATCTGTCCCATGCGCGTGCGCATTCTATCTGACGAAAGAATTTCAACGAGACGTGTCAGCGTACGCGAATTCCCGTGCTGACGAAAATACACCGGTGAAAAGTTTACGTTCCGCCGACTACATGTCTGGTCCGGTGATGTGTCGCGTGCATGTTTCTCATGTAAACACGCTATAGTTAGAGACAGTGAGTAACATTTTCAACGGACTCGTGTCCGGGAAAAACTCGTTACCAAAATGAGATAATTATCGCGTGGATCTAGGATCGACGAAAATTTGTAAAATTCTTCGAATTATTTGGAAATATATTTAACGCGAATTTTGGCCGATTTACATGTAACGTAGAGGTACTGTTAACACTGAACCCACTACAGACTAAACGACCGTTCTCAACATTTTGGATTAAAAATTCTGCATTCAGTGTTATCAGTTACCCCGCTCGACTATTCGATATTTCAGTTAATATATTTAATTTATGAGACATCTGGAATTGTATTAGCATTGATTATGTAAACAAAATTATTTATTACATACAAATGCATCTAAGTCATGTTTTGCACCAAAAAGGATACTCAAAAAAATATTAATCCTTAGATAAAAATGATTGGTTTAATTTTGTAAGCTCAATTTCTATACTGTCCGAATATTTTTGTGTCTCAAATTTAAATATAAGAACTATACTGTATTATAAGATAGTGTATTTTTAAGTCTTTTGTATAATACAGAACATAAAGATAAGATATATATTACAGTTCGAATATCTTTGTGATCGACTGTACGTATTATCAATTTTTCAATATCTTCCTCTATACCAGTTCCTTTGAAGTTCTTCCTCTTTCATTTTCCCATCTATCGATCATTATGACCGATCGTGACAGGTTCACTGTTAAGCGGTTTATTCGTTTTACTCTCTTTCACGTATTTTACAATTTTGGTAACGAGTATTTCCGGGAATTGGTGCGTATTTTCGAATACCATTTTCTGTTTTCTACTAGTTCCTAATTATTTTTGGTTTTTCTAAAGGTGATTTCGTTTTTCGCGGAAAATGGTCTTTGGGTTTTACGTGTTTTGACACGCGAAAATGAAATTTCTAGACAAACGTAGGACAACGTGTGATACCGAACGGCAGCCCTTTAATTAAATTTCATTATTAAATTTCATAATAGGTTATATATTTCCATTAAATAATTTCGTCAGGGGACTCGATGGGTAACGACGTGTTTGAACGATATAACAATGAATTCTAATTAGAGCAAACGTGTTTACGCGAGAAAAATTCTTCGTTAACCCTTTGTATTTCGAGAATTTTCAAATTTAATCAGCGCAGAAAATAAATTGCGCGTTACTAACAAAGGATTACGAGGGTTCAAATTTTTCCCAATTTTCTCTAATAAATAAAAATATAAGGAAGCAATTTTGATTAATTTAAAACATCGTTATAGTTATTTTTCAAATCTGATCGTTTGCGAAAAATAAATTGTATGCTGTTAACGAAACAATGCAAAGGATTAAAGTCTTCCCATTTTCCCTGGTGAAAAAATATTTTCCGAAAATTTCTCCAAAATTTAGAAGCTTCGTTATATTTATTTTCGAACTTTGTTCGTCGCGAGATTAAATCCCTGCAGGATTCAGTTAGCTTAAAGAACGCGGTCTCCTTTTTTGTTTCAATGAGTTTTACTTCTCGAAGCGAAACTGTCCTTCGAAAACGACAGACGGTGGTGGAAACGCAACGAGAGCCTGCGAAACGTAAACGAATACGTTTTCTTTTAGTTTCTTAAATCCCTGCAGGATTCAGTTAGCTTAAAGAACGCGATCTCCTTTGTTGTTTCAATGAGTTTTACTTCTCGAAGCGAAACGCAACGAGAGCCTGCGAAACGTAAACGAATACGTTTTCTTTTAGTTTTGCGAGAGGCACGCGTGTTTTCACCGGCAACAATTTGCATTTGAACACACAAGGGTCAACAGGTAGACCTGCGAGCGATGAAAATTCGCAGACGCGCGATCAATTGTGAAAATATGATCTGCAACGCGATTCTCTGACAGCAGCAGTGTATTTAATGCAACCACTGGTGTTGCGATAATTGCGTTTACGCGATACTTAGGCGAAGTGTATCGAATCCGAAAGATGCGAGCCAGTTTTATGTTTAGGATTCATTAACACTAGATTTACGAAACCCGTCAATTTGACGGGTGGGTTGCTCCAATTATACGACGGTAACAGATTTAGTTAACTTGTATTAAGTCTGTTAATATTGTAATTGTTTTTAAATTAAACTAATCGTTGAAAAAGGTGGTTTCCTTTACCTGTACATTTGACAGGTGTCTGTAGAAATAAGTATACAGATAGCATCAGTAAACCTAATATTAATATACTATTGCGATTACCATTGTATACTGGGAGCATATTGATTTTTTGGAAAATTTTTTAGAAAAATTCGCTTAGGATTTTTTGATCATCTGTAAGTGAATTTTTGGCTTTCAATCCTTTGCAGAACAATAATTAATGTGAATTATCACGAGTTCTTCATGTCGAATTTCAAGATCGTGATATGTAATTTGTCATACGACTGTAATTATATTTGACGTATTTTGTCAGGCACAAAATTCGAAGGATTTTAAAAATTTTTATGAAATTATGCTTCAGTGTATAATTTTTCGCAATTAAATTGTAGGACGATGGGGATTATGGTTGTTTGTTGTTCGTTATTGTTTATTGAATTGAAATATCGAGTTCTTTACGTCGAATATCAAGATCGTGATGTATAATTTGTCACGCCATTATAAGTATATTTGACATATCTTGACAGGCACAAAATTCGAAGGATTTTAAAAATTTTTTATCTAATTTTGTCATAGATGGAATAAATATTTCGATGTTTAATTTTTCGTAATTAAATTGTAGTGTAAGGGAGTCAATAAAGTTGGAGATTATGGTTGGTTGTTGTTATTATTATTTGTTACTGTAACGAGAGAAATAGGAATCGATAACTGAAGGTGACTTAGGGTAACTTATGAACGAATTACTCGG